CTGGTATTAAAATTATCCTCTCAATCCGTAAAGAAGCCTTCAATCCGTAAAAAGTAGGGCTTTGGGCTTCACTATCGATTGGAAATTATGTTTTGAGGAGCATTTGAAAGGTATTCTAGCCGAGGCTGACCAGGGAGGTTTCCTATCCAAGCCATTAAGAACTAAGAATCCCATTTCGCTTGTGAAAGCACACAAAATCTATGTGCGTTCTGTATTGGAATACGGTACTTTTATTTACTTCCCTCACACTAAAACGCTGTTAAACAAACTAGTAAAGATACAGATTAACTTTACTGCAGAATTGTTTATCAGAGCATTAGGGTTCACTTACAGAAGCATCCCTCGAAGAGTCATCAGACCACACGATTCTCGGTTTAGACCCTTTACAAGTAAGACTTAGAAGGAATGACATGAAGGCTAAAGGATAAAGTTTTAGGCGCTGATCAATCCCGTCTGAGGGATGCGCCCCGCACTCGACTTCCATTCAGAATCGTAGTGGCGCGATGAGTGCGTATGTGGCCTATACAATGACTTGCGGTGGCCAGCCGATGTACAAGTCGGTGCTTTTATCCTCCCAGACAAGTCTGGTACCAATTCATCGACCCTGGAGGGATGGAAGGCTTGGTTGGCCTAGGCGGGTATCGATCCGGGATTCGAGCCGCTGACCGTACGTGTGAGCGTGACGCCACTTGTCACTACACCACCTCCACCCTGAAGGAATGACATACTCATAGTATATAATATTCTGAATAATCTGTCGATCCTGACAGTCGTAATTCTTATACTATGACTTAATCCAAAACAAGGGGCGAGAGGTTCAAGCTCACTTCACGACAGCCGCGTTCGTCGGTTGGACGCAGGCTCTTCACGTTTCGAGCAGGCGTGGTGTATTTAAAAATGAGTAAACTAATTCCAATACCAGTATTCTTTTCCACACTTAAAAGCAAGGGGTCTCATCATCTGCGTTCCGTTCATTAGCATAATATCATGCCTCAGTATTTCATCTGGTAACATTTTTTACTCTCTTCTGTTTTATCGTGTTTTTTTCTCTAAATAACTTAAGTTGCTAACATGCCAACAGTATGTAATAAAGTGAAGTAAAGTAAAAGTAACAAGTAGAGGGCAGCAAATGGGACAGCACTCAATCTCGCATTCCTGCATAGCTATTACCTTTGAACAGTAGATTGATAGCTGCCATTCCCATGTCATAAAAATGTTCCTGTATTTATCTGGTCAAGAAAGAAGGAGAAGCCAATCCCACCTTTCCACATACTCCTTTTATCGTGCAGAAAAGATTGATTTCAAAAAAATTTGCTGAAAGAATTCTTCGTGGGTGGTCCTATTGCTTGGAGAAGCTTTTCTGTGTAATGCCTACGTAGGCGACTTACAGAAAAGGTCAGACGGAAATTTGCGGAAACGGAGACGTTCTGCGTTTTAGGTTACCCCCTCTAGAGTGATGCTATCCACTGCGCAAAACTAAGAGTTTTTTGTTTGCCTTCATTAAGGTAAAGGGCATCATTAAACCAACGGATCGGATTGCATCAGTTGGCTAATGTTGTTGTCTTCAAGATAAACTAAATTTGGGGAATAACAAATAGTGATGAGAAAGAGACGTCAGGAATTTCTGGGATTGAACAGAACGGGGGCACGAGGGATGCACCAAGTTGTACTATGCATGGGCGGGCGGAGCACCATGGTGAGTGCGGGACAAAACTGTTTCAAAGCCCAGGTTTTAGGACTTGATTCCAGATGTTCCACACCTAATTCTCAGCCCGTGGAGGTCTATAATTGATGGGAATATTTGGGGATATGTATTTTTTGTAGTGGTGGTTTATAGTAATAATTCATCCCTGAAAATTGACATATTCTTCTCATTGCATAAAAAATCGACCAATAATTATGGAAATTTTCAAATTGGAGCGGAAGCCTCAGCTTCAGTAATCTGGCCCGTCTTTGGAAACCCCCATTGATTTGTTTCTGATAGTGCTAAGAGGATTCCTTGGAAGGGTAGACGGTTATTTACTTTGCCTGAGTCAAATGTTTTCGAATCGTCTGCCCGTTCGAAATTCATTTTACGATGGCAAAACACTCATGCCCAGTTTCACAGAGTTTCGCCAGGGTTGCTTTGTGTTCGGGTCGAAGCTGTTGTTGCCGAAGATAAGTGCATCCTCGAATTTCCGATGGAAGGCAGGGGAAAATCCCTTGTTAACCCTACGAAATCATCCCACAATGAAAGGGCGAGGTGGCATTTTTAACCAGGGGCTATCTGAGCCAACATCAAATAATCTTGAAATGCGTGGAGTATTCTTTTATTGCCTGTTGAGCTGTTTATTCCCTTCTATAACGAGCAGTGAACTTCACTTCAACTCACTCCCGTGGGGGTGTTTGAAGGTGAAAGCTCGGTTGCCGGGTCACCCACTTGGCTGTTGACTTCATTATGGTGAACAACATCCCTGTTGAATGAAATTCCATGGGATTTTCCAATTATTACTGAATGATATTTGTGTAAAAAAATCGATCTGATGTACCGTACCACACCCTATTTATACTATACTACACATTCATACGTAGCTATTCCACACTGCATACCACATTCCATGGGTAGAAAGTAAAGCGGTCCGTCTTCACTTTTAATTCGCATGTGCTTTTCAATACATCTTAGTGATTCGTAGTGATACCAAGTGATACTGCTGGGTGAAACAAACTTTTCTGAGAGCTGCCTCTGTCAGATAAAACCTTTTTGCAATAGAATGGGCTGAATAAAGATTTTGCCAACGCTTTGACGTATCACTAATTCCTATACAATACTCTACTGCAGTCGATGGAAATCAAAAGGAGTGCGAAGCCAAGCGATTTGGACCTTTTCGTACAATCGCCATACTCAACTGACCTGTCGCTTTCCGATTTCCATATCTTCCTATCATTCGACCACTATACGAGTCCCTAGAACTTCCATGACATCATCCAATGGCATCGAGAATTGCCAGGCTTGGGTGAATTGAAGGATGAGTAGTTCTCCGAACTGAGTTCTAGTTCGTGGCCAGACAAGAAGAAGTATCCTGCTCTCTGAAAGTCAATTCCTTAGTTTGTATTGCTGAACAGCCCCAATAAGTTCAACGAACTTGGTGTTTTCTTCGTCCAAGAGGCCACCAGCGGTGATGAAATGCTCCAAAGGGTTCCGATAATACAGCTTTCCGGTAGCGGCTGATCCTCTACCGGGAAGCTGTATTACCGGAACTTTAGAAGACAACTTGAATGTTTGTGAAGGACTATTATGAAGGATAAAACTCTACTGAGAATGGTAGAATGGCAGCCGGAACTATACCAAGAAAATGGGAAAAAGTGGTCGATACCTGTGGGACAGCTCGGTGTAAGACATGGTAACAAAGGTCGGTGTGGGAGCGATTACCCGGTCTTTTGAAGAGTAGATCAAAATAACCAATACATCAGTCTTTGATTTACTTGATCACAGTTGCTCAAATACTAAGTTTAATGAAATTGTCTTATCGGTTTTGTTATTGAGGAGGTGATAAAAACAGATTGTACTAAAACAGACGCTCCCTAACAGAGGATCTCTCATGGTTTGACTTCCTAGCAGTTATCCTGGCCTCCTGGCCTGTCAAGGTCTTTTAGCAGGAGTAGATAAGAGATGATTACTATCTTACAGTATGCTCGTATAATTTCGAGAAAGTTGTGGTCAAGAGTGGCCCTGTCTGGTTATACCCAACCCGAGTTGGAGACCATTAAAAGCGAAGACAGTTGTCTTAAATACGCGGACGAAATAGGGGACCAGAATGAAAATGTTCAAAGAATGAGAAGTATGGAGTTGAACTCATTCTCTGTCGTATCTTCAGTGAAAGGTATTTGAATTGAAGCTAATCCTGCTGTTTCAAAACGAGTTATTTATTTATGCTTATGTAATAGTAAATACTTAGTCAAAAACTCTAGGAATTGTTGTTGTTTACAAACCGATGCAATCAATGGATTAGTGCACGGAGATTCTGCTATGCAATAGAATATCCAGTTTCGTTTTATCCGCATTAATAGCATTTGATGGCAATAGATTTCCACCAGAGCTGCCTTACTATTTACTAACTAGGCTACTCATTTTTCGTACTTCAGGAATTTTGAGGTTGTGAAACACTCTTTTACAATGTTTAAAGTTACTCCTGATATAGAGTATTACCCTTACGAATGAAATTTCGGAAGGCCCTGTAGCAGTGTATTCAAGACTACCACGAATTTTATTCTGAGGCAATCTACTAAAAAAGATCAATTAAAAAAGATTAAGATTAAAAAATTCTGGGAAGAAATTTTTGCTTATTGTGCGTCCTTGATTTGTACTAGTAGGATAAACACGGAAAAAAACTAATTAAAGAAAGGGATTCAGGGATAATTGGGTGCAAAGGGTTAACCCGTAGACGTTGAATCATCTTAAGGCAGACTGCGTGACTATTGAAGTGTGAGGGACCGTTTTCGCTAAAAAGGAACTGCTAATATCTCCTGGGTGCATACCCAGAAGGCGAAGGTGGGAGTCTTTCGGCCGAGTCTGGAGTCGCACCGTGGTCCTAACTGGAAGTAAAGTAATCTAGCGCTCTCTTTTAGCTGGAACTGGTGCTAGAATATTTTAAAGGACCCTTGCCAGTAAATTACCCGTTTCTGCCTTGCATATTACAGTCGCTGTGTATGTATGTATAGGCTAGAAACTCATTCGGTTGCCAATGTAGTTCCGAATACAAGTAGATTGCATGGCGCATACTAGAGATATTGATGATCAATACATCTATGTGTCGAAAACGTTAGCCAACTGCTCTGCCGAAAACACTTTACGCCTATACTTTCTAATATATGAAGCAACAATTTATGCTCAACGATACCACACTGAAGAAATGCTAGCCGTTACTAGTTAACTAGTCAAAGAACTATAACCGTACTAATCGATTTCCACGTAACAGTACACAGCTATGCAAATAGAAATCGTTCCATTCGAAGAAGCTTGTTTAGTCGTAGCTCAGGAACTGCTGCCTGTCAGATGACGAGGAGCCTGCGGCCCATGGTTTCCATTCAATTGGAGTGGTACCACCTCCACCACCAGCACGTACTACCTAAACTCAAAAAAGTAAAGTTATTAACGAAAGTAATACCAACAATATCTTTGTATATTCATGCTAATCAAGCAACTGTGGGCATGAAAACTTGACATGATAAATGAATTAAGCTTACCCGATCTTGGTTAGGGTCAGAAAGTAAATCGATTCTGGTTTTAGTATTACTTGTATGGTTTGATTATGTCGTTCCATCGACACAACAGTATGCTTTCCTGTGCACAAACAATGACTTTCCCAAAATGGAACGCGTACTCCTGCTACGATATCAGTTTGGGAAGTACGAAGGTCAGGCTGAGTGTTATGCACTAAGGAAGTATGCACAGAAGTCTCCTTTGATTGCCACACTTCTGGTGACAAATCGAATCATTTGAAGTGTATAAAAGGAGATTGTCTCTCGAATTGTGATGGGTTCCATATGGAAAAGGAAACTGTAGTGGGATTACGGTGTGGTATAATGGAAAAGTCTATTATTAGAACAATACAACTTAAAGATGATAGTAGTGAACCATACATTTCTCAGGAAAGAACTCTTATTCAATCCTTCATCCATCTGAATTGGGAGATGAACTCTCTTTGTTTGGATATGATCTCCTCAGAGAGGAAATGAAAAGCCAGGATAGCAGCAGTTCAAAGAATTGCAAATTTTATATTTGAATAATGATACTAGTCTCTACAATATTTTGATAAAATAGTATATAAGATCATCCAAATGACATTAACTTCTCAACAACTGATCATCATATTATTTATGAATGAAAGCGACCCGTTTGATGACTAAAAAAACGTTTTTCTCTGCATCTTTATGTGGATCACTTAGGGAATTTAGGTTTCCAAAAAGTTTTCAAAATCTTTTCTCGAACCAAAACTCACCCCGCCCATCCGTCCACGTGGGTTTCGCATTGAAACGTTACCTCTGGGAAGAGATGGGGAATTCGGTGTAAGCGGCATATCCCTTGACCTTTTCGGTGTGCGACGTGGCTCCAAGAATCTTGGATCCTCACTGAACAGTTACTATACAATTAGATTTTACTTTGAACGGGAATTTCAGAGTAACTAAAACTGTGAAGTAATCAGTTAGGCCTTTCAACTCAAACTGACAAACTTTCATTCTAATTATCCAAAAATAAACATGAAATCCCTATCATATCTCACTATAAGCACGACATAATTGAAATAAGTAGATGGCGCAGTGGCTAAAAGGTTTGCTTGCACATGCAGGTATGGTCTGATGCTCTTTTTCACTCCTGTTGTCTGCTGAGACCTCCTTCAACTATTAATAATTGATAACAATAAATTGGTGAGACCGCCTTGAATCACTGACTATTAACTAATATTACTTAGCAATATAAGTAATAGGAGACCTCATTAACGTCATAATAGTATTTAACTATTAAAGATTTATAACCAATAATAGTAATGAGTATAATATGATTAATATTAATTATTGGCTTAATTTAAGAGTCATCAGTCATTGTGCCTTCATTCCATTCAAAGCACAATGGATAAATGATTTATGAATTGTAGTTGAGTTGTCCAGGGGTGATGCAGGATCAATTCACAAATTGCCGTATACATAGTCAAGGGATCAAACTCTGGACCAATTTCAACCTAGGCCAACCAGACTCCCCCCATTCCCCTACAAACGGTTGCTTGATAAACTTGTTCGGTGTTCGCAATCTAAAGGATGAAGTCTTGGAGCGTTAATCAATGCCGTCCGAGGGATGCGCTCACGCTTCGACTTCTATTCAGAATCGCAGTGGCGTGCTGAATGCGTATGTGGCCTACACAATAAGAGCGGTGGCCAGCCAATGTACAAGTAAGTGCTTTTATATTCCCAGACGAGTTTGGAACCGATTAGCCGACCTTGCAGGGATGGAAGGCTTGTTTGGGCTTGTCGGTTATGGATCCGGGATTCGAACCCGAGACCGCGCTTGTCAAAGAGTACGACACCTGTTATCACATCCGCCCTGTTCTGTAGGATAAGATCGTTGCGTTGAATGTCGCTGGCCCTAACAAGTCATTTTAAGGCCTCTGGAGAAATAAGCTGTAACTGACTTGTTTTAGTAGTTTATTGTTTACATTTTCATGATTTTTCCAAATGCCGCTAAGATTTCGAGTGGATATCGAATGGAGATGGGAGATGATGGACGCCGAGAAACTTTACCATTCCCTTTTGAACTAGACTTCAAATCTGGATCCCATAACACCTAACGGTCCCCAAAAAACAATCAGGAACGGGATACCTTGTAGGCGGCTGCCATATCGACGAGTATGCGCCACATACTACCTCTTTACTCAAAATCGTAAGGTCAGTTGAATGTGACTTTGATATGCTGTTCAATTGCTTTTGCATGCTGGCCGACTCCATTTGAAGGTATTTACTCTTGGAATGGGAGTGAGCTCTTCACGCACTGAGGCTTTGAGTGCTCAGGGTAGGCACTCAAATTAAGAAAGGCGAAACTCACCTGGACCCAGTGCCAACAGAAGACATGGGAGTTGATGAAATACGCGTCGGTGTACGAGTTTTTACTTTTAGTGGACTGAAATCGGTGATTATGGGTATTGGAATTTAAAATTACAAATACACACAGTATGACAAATAAACATCAATTTTTCCCAAGTGATATTATTTGGCTATTTGCGAAATTCAAGTATGCCGTTCTACAAAACTGCCTGAAGTGCTTTTCAGTAGCGTTTACTTCTTGAACTTCCAATTACGCATTCAGAATTAAACGCTGAAAATTTAAAAATATCGAAAAGCCGAGTTGCTTTTTCAACCTAAAAACTGACAAGCTGAAAACTAAATGGGAAAAAAAGTTCTGGAACATAAGCCGGTGAAAACTTCCCTTTTTGGTGGGGTCCTTCTTGTTGGGCTGCTCTGGATGGATTCGTCAGTGTTTCCGTGGCGGTGCACAGGTGTCATCGGTTCAGGATGGTGTACAGGTTTTATCGGATCTGGACGGTACACAGGTGTCATAGGTTCATGACGTTCATGACGGCGCAGAGGTGTCGTCGTTGGTTCAGTATGGCGCACAGGTGTAATCGGGTCAGAACGGCCCACAAGTATAAGCGGTTCTGTTGGTGGCGAAGGGATCCGTCTTTTTCTTCTGTGATGTGTAGGACTTGATGGAGGAGATCTACAAAAGTTTGTGGGACGCAAACTTGTTCCAGCTTTTTCTGATAGGTTAGCGGAAGCGGACTCTTCTTACCTGATGGTTCTGTCACTGAACACAGAGAGGCTTTTCGGAGACGAAGATCTGAAAAACTTATGCTTCCTTGAAGATAAAGAAGGAGAAACACTTAACTTCTGCTCAACATCAGCAGTTTCCTTAGATACTCAGTGAGCGAATCTCACGGTGTATACTCCGCGAGAGGGGGCGCACTTTAGAGCACGGTTGCCGCGATGGCGCCTCATGACCCGCACCTCTACTCATATACCTGAGCATACCTCGACCTATCGCACTCTTCTTGCACGAAGCTCTTTCTCCCTCACACTCAAGAATGATCTCCGTGTGATATTTCCGATGATAACCGTTGCACTTACGGGTAACAGAAATCATACCTAACCTGATTGAGTTGCTCCCGAATGGATCGGCCACTGGTTCCTTTGGCGTTTCTTCGGGGACAGGATCGTTTGGAAGTAGGTCTTCAGCAGGTTCAGAACGAACAGAACTCGATCTCTTCCTTGAGTTGGTTGGTGGTGATTGGCTCTTTCTCCTGTGAGGCTTTCCATTTCTTTCAAAGACGATTGGAACAAAATCTGGCGAGTCTCCCTTTGGAAGAACAGTTTCTGAATGA